GCATGTATCTAGCAACTAATGATTATTGTAGATCGATTTTGTCGTCCACGTTTAGTGCCAATACATACGAGATGATTTTGTCCACAACGGCTTTTATCTTTTTCAGGTAACTAGACTTTATCATATAAATACAATAATGTTAACTATATTATGTCATTGATGTATTTATTAACAACAAAAATGTCTCAAATGTCCCCTTTTTGTTCATGCCATATTACAGCAATTATAAACCTTCCACGTTTCCACTATAACTTAAAAAAGGAATAAACTATGAATTTTAAAAATGAATGTGTTTTGGTATGTGATGCTACTGCCAGCCACATACCGAAAGTGATATAAGTCATTCCTCTATTAGTTTTTAATATAATATCATACATATTTTTATGATACAACACAACTTTTAATTAATCCCTTCTCTCCTATAAGTCATTTAAAAAAATGAAAATTCAACAAATAGAAACAAGAGTCTCCATCACACACACACACACAAAAAAATCGTAATGGTAAGCATTTTTTTCTTATCCAAAATTATATCACAAAGAACATAGCCTCTTTCTAGGAAATTTGTTTGTGGGGTATATCATTTACATTTTTTTATATTTAGTGTGGGGCATACCATTTATATATTTATCCATTATATATTTTATATAAAATAAAATTAAAAAACCAAAATCTTCCACAATAACCATTATAAATAACAGCTGATCAAAGCATATGTTCAATACACAACCTAAGCCTTTCTTATTCCAAAATACAACACTTCATTAAGTTACTTCTCTTGATCACCACAAATGGAGAGAATCAGAGATTTGTCGTCGAAGAAAGCGGCAGTGATATTCACAAAGAGCTCATGCTGTATGTGCCATAGCATCAAGACGCTATTCTACGAGCTAGGCGCTAGTCCGGCGATCCACGAGCTCGATAAGGACCCCGAAGGCCGTGAAATGGAACGAGCCCTACGTGCCCTCGGCTCATCAAACCCCGCGGTTCCAGCTGTTTTTGTCGGAGGAAGGTACATCGGATCAGCCAAAGACATCATCTCGTTCCACGTCGATGGGTCGCTCAAGCAGATGCTTAAAGAAGCTAAGGCCATATGGTTATAGCGTTCCAATCATCG